CCCAGTAGCTTCTTGTTCCTAGTAGTGATGGCCTCCAACATACTTGCGATGGCCTCCACCTAATAGCGATGGCCAACATACTGGCGATGGCCTCCACCTAATAGCGATGGCCTCCACCCTAGAAGCTTCTTGTTCCTAGTAGCGATGGCCTCCAAACTACTTGCAATGGCCTCCACCTAATAGCGATGGCCTCCACCCTAGTAGCTTCTTGATGGCCAACATACTGGCGATGGCCTCCACCTAATAGCGATGGCCTGCACCCTAGAAGCTTCTTGTTCCTAGTAGCGATGGCCTCCAAACTACTTGCGATGGCCTCCACCTAATAGCGATGGATCCACCGTAGAAGCCTCTTGTTCCTATAGACCCTAGTAGTTTCTTGTTCCTAGTAGCGATGGCCAACCTATTGGCGATGGCCTCCACCTAATATTGATTGCCTCCACCCTAGTAGCTTCTTGTGGCCTCCAAACTACTTGCGATGGCCTCCACCTAATAGCGATGGCCTCCACCTGAGTAGCTTCTTGTTTCTAGTAGCGATGGCCTCCAACCTGCTTGCGATGGCCTCCACCTAATAGCGTCCTTATAGGTGTTCATTGGGGCCCTGTGGGTGCTCAACACAGACTTTCGCAAAAAGGAATGGATTATACCGGATTGTTTGTTGCACCTGCGTCCAAGCAGACCTTTCTGCCCCCAAGCGTATGAGTCTTGGAAAGCCTCTATACTCCAAAGCATGTCAATCATCGACAGGACCATTGCCTCAGTGCCTCCTACTCGCTTGAAAGAAGCCCCCTGGTATTTTGCAGACGTCCTGGTCCCACAGGGGTTCGGCTCTGGTAGGTTTAGCAGGACTTTGTATTCTGCCGACACATGATGCTTTCTCCTCCAATCCCATACAATGAAAAGCACTCAAAGGTGGTCATTTCTCAATGAATAACAATGATGGATGTGCATGCCACGTTCACAATTACAATGATGGATGTGCATGCCACGTTCACACCTGTCATGCAGGTATTGCCTGAAGCAATCGAAATGAGCTGTAGCCGTGCTTCCAGTTCTCAATTTCGAAGAATTTTCAGCTATTTGACCTCACAGTTTCCGACAGTGTCCGATTCCGACCGTTTTGTGGACCGGAGACGGACAAGGACTTCTTCCCGCCTCGGGGGTGACCGAGAGCGCTCGGAGGAGCTGCTTTCGCCTTGGGACCCGGAGGCTCTCCGGCGGCGGAGCGAACGCGGTGCCACGCGACGCTTCGGGGGCTCAAGGAGAAGCTACGTTCGTAACAAGAAGCGAACGTAGAATCAAAAGGAACTCGACCAAGGATGCTTAAGAGTTGGAAATGGTTTCGGTTTTCGATCATATGCAACTGAGTAAGCAAGGTAAAGGATGGTTCAGGGGTGGCATGGGGTGGGCACTGCCATGCTTCAGGCGAAATGGTGAGATTGGTTGGATAATGGCATGCAACGATACTTAGTACATCTTAATACGGGTAGGGTCCATCATCATTATCATCAAAAAAAGGCCTGTTTACCACACATGACACATGATCGAAAAGGGTTTCATCAACCCTGCTAGACAAACTCACAGGCACCATGAAACACACGATCAGTCCAAAGGTGCCTCTCCATGCTTTCCAACACCAAACAAACGCCAAACCGGTGAAAACACGCTGAGGGTCGCTGAGGTAGTACTCTGCGAAATAGCTATGCCTGGCAACTATACTTCACAGTCCCCAATCCCCCCTTTCCCTCCGTTTCATCCCTCAAACCGAGCAGCCATCGGCCCTCCGCGGCTTCCGCTTCTTCTGGCGGCGCTTGAGGGTCTTCGCGCTCCGGGCGAAGAGCCGGTCGAGCTCGAAGAACGAGATGTCCGTCAGGTCGAACAACCTGGTCGCGACGCACCCGCCTCCGCGACGCGAGGACCGATGAAGCGGACCATGTGGCGGACCGGCGGTGGCGGGGGGATACAGGGGTGAGAGCCGTCCTTTTGATGTTACTTGGCATCGCGTGGCGTTTAGATGTAAGGTGTCACGTTTAACATGTTGACAAAATCATACAAAATCCAACGTAGAACCGGGATGAACTACGAGGATGTCAACAATTCACTGCTCGATCTGTTTCATGTTTGGTCGCTACAGGACCCGGATGTTGACATGAATGACTCTGGCAGGTATGAACAACATGACCCACTCGGACGACTTCGATTGGACGTTTCTTGGCATCGTCCGTGTTCAGTTTATAGAGAAAATAAGCTAGTAGCTTAATAGAATGCTCCTAGAAGTACGGCCAGGAGCCCCAGGAGCCCCTGAGAAATGGCAATGTTATGGGAATTTATGGGTTATCGTACAGGCGGAATGTTCCAACAAGAAGTCAGGAACACTTGCAGGCACCACGGTGAAGGGTTTCGACCTCCTGAAGCGACAGTGGCCGCTTCTTCGACTTCGATCGCCTTCGCCATCTGAATTCTTGGTGAACACTGGGCTCTGGGTCCATCCGGGGGGGAGGTTGACCACAGAAAAAGAACATAATGGACTACCTTGTCTCACCAAGAGTGGTGGAGAGTGCTTCTCCACCTCATTCAAAGCAGGTCGGAACAAACCCCTCTTCCGTACATCACTTGATGACTTGGATCCCCAGTTCGACGTATACATCACAGATGCTGCAGTGATGCCTCAATTAGGACGAAGCAACATGATTTGTTTCTCAACAGGCGATGCTGATGCTGAAGCAACTAGCATTGCAACAGTGTGCAAGACATCCTGATGATTGTCGGGGCTTTCGAGCTGCTGTACTGAAGAGACATCTTGACATGACCAATGTGCAGATGCATTGACAAAAAATACATCGGCACACTGGTCATGAGTGTTTTTCACCATACACCTTACACTGAAGTTCTTCAGGACACTGAATCGAGCGAGCATGTTGCTTTTCAACGGTGCTATCACGGGCTTAGTGGGATGCAAACAGTGTTAATAACAATTTCTCCGTTGTTGCTTACACATCTTCCCAACGTTGTCCAATCGTGTCTGAATGATGAAGATTGGAGAAGTGTTCTTTCCTTTTCAGACCCACTTTGCTGGAATAATGCAATGAAGCATGATGAAGCAGTTCAGGTTTCCTTCCCTGAGATTGCTTTCCTTTCTGTGACAAGAGGCTTCCAGTTCCGGTCACAAATTGTTCAATATTGTGACTTTGCCTTTTCTGGCAAAATCTACATCCGGAAGACAAAATGCATTGGATGTGTATTACCAGGGCTGCTTAGTTCATGCCCTTCCTCACTTCTCGAATGAGGAACTGATTGCATTCCTTTTAGCCTTCGGTCGGCCCCGCTTCTGGCCCGAGGGGGCCGTCCTTTCAGCCCCTCGGCCGTAGTGACGGAGAGCACCGCAGCGCTGAAACGGGAGAACACACTCTTGCGGACGGAGAGTTCGTCGCTTCCTACGAATATAATGGCCAGGATGGGCCTGGGACATGCTTCCAGGTTTTGACCCATAGCCACTTGAAGCGCAAGGGCAAGTGGATCCACCAAACGCTGGCTTTTCAAGGTGGCTGCCTGACTTGGGCACGATGAGACTGAATGTCCGTGAAGACTTCAAACAGTCGACGAGAGAACCACCCGAAGAACACGGAGATTCACCACCATGCGACGTTCGAACGCTGCCCCAGCAAATCGCCCAACATGGGAAACAAGTGGCAACAATCAACCAGCACTGAGTGCTGTAGCCTTCAGCCAATGCCCCCAAGCATCCCCAAGCCAAGGTTGAATATACCCCACCCCTCTTGGCCAAAGCAGCCCTCCCATCGCACTGGGCGAAGGCCGCCAAGATCACGCTTGGTGCGTCTCTTACGCCATCGCGTCTTCTGCTGAAAATGCGCGAGCCGAAAGGTTTGCGAAGACAAGGTTGGAAAATGAATTGAGGTGTTGTAGGTGTCCGGGGTGTTTCCCGCCTTCATCGGTAACTGGAGCGTTTATATCTGGGGTACTGTGAGACCAAGCATGCCGCTTGAGTTTTGGGACGCCCTGGGCCATTTGACTATACTTGGCAAGCACACAGACGCACAAAGGAGTTCTCCAGTGAGATATTGACTCCTTCGATGACACTAAGGTTGTACCCTAACAAAGACACTGTCTTGTAGCAGAACGCTTTTGAAGGATTGAAGGTGTCCGGCTCTGCGTCGTGATCAGCTGCTTTGGTGGATCCCAACCCTGTGAGTTGAATGGTATGAACGGAACATTGAGAATCCAGCTACTCCGCAAACGTCAAAAAAGCAACATGGACCTAATATTGAGGACAATTCTTGCACCTATCATCCAAAATAGTCGTCTTGTGTTGCCACTTCTGGCTCAAGCAGGTCCTATAATTACCAATCCTATATAGTTAACCACCACGAACCGTTTCAGACGTATCTCCAAGCGACGGTGACAAGCAGGTCCTGTCGACCCAGAACCGTTTCAGATCTCCGTTTCGCGCTCCACCGGACCGGTGAATCGCTCCGTCGCTCGACGGCGGTGACGACCCACTGCCTTTCTCCTCCCGGGGCGAGCCGTTCGCGTTCTCCTCGTCGCCTGGAAGAATCCACCGGGGAGTGGAGGAGTTATCCGCCAGCGCAGCATCCTCACATATCCCTTTTTGGTGTTGACCCTGGTGCCTGGTACTGGAAAGAGAATCTTAAGACAGGCTTCAAGAGCATGGCCACAAGCATCCGGAAGCCTTTTTAGTAGGAGTTAGAGTGTAGTTGAGCGCTTGGAAGTGCCCCTGGACTGTCTAGTGACTAGTGAATGCGTGCTTGTTGTCTGCAAAACCTTGAGAGACTCTTCCATGCGTTTAAGCAATATAGTATCAATTTATATCTTAGAGCTCCCCACAAAAAACGAGTCATATGAGGCTTTCTGTTGTCACAACTGCTCTGCTCCCCCTTCACTCGGTCCGTCGTTCGGTCCCAACGCCTTCGCCTATACGGTCGTTCTCGATGTGAACAAAGTCGCAGAGCCAGGAAAGGAGAAGCCTCGACGGGCCGATGTCCCGCCGGAAGGATGGGCTCCACTGAGGTAGCGGCTTATGGTGGCCCAAATGGGCCTGGCTGGGGTTTTGAAGTCCTCTGACCAGTGCTGGGGACTGTAGGAAGCGACTCTGATCCTGGTCAGAGAGGAGCGGCATGCATTGTGCTTAAACATCACATGCAGCGTGGCGCCTCCACAGTTACTTGGTGCTTTACATTAATGATCAAGAAGCATGGCCACCAATGACGTTATTGAACCCCGTTGGCCGTTGGCATGACATCCCCACGTCTCAAAGAATAGCATACAGTAGTCACTGATGACTGACGACCATCTGAAATTAAATCGAAGCTCCAAACCCCAACTTCAGGAAGCTCTCCACTGCCCTGGTAGCTGGACCAACCCAAACACAATATCTCAAGGGACATAGGGATTGCAACTCCAAAAAGCTTCCAATTGGCCCAATTTCTTGGCCTTTGGCGTTCAAAAAAAACAATTCTCCGTCAATCTGTTCCCGCGTTTTCACGCCTCTTCCGGCTAGCGGACCATGTTTTGGACGTCTCAAAGACCTCGGAGCAATTGCAGGTCGAAGGCGTTCGCCTGTGAGGGTAGTGTCGATCGCAAGATCCGGTAGTGGATGTTGGATGGGCACACCATGGCACACCAGGGCAACACGTCCAAGAACCGAAACATGACACCCATGCCAAGCGGGACAACTGGGCCGGAAATCCAATGGCCCGAAGGTTTTCCTGGGGGGTCCTTGAGTTTTGAGCTGACTGAAGGATGTGGTATGATGTGGTTCAGCATTCTGCAGTTCCAAAGAAGGCTGATAACGATACGACCCATGCTTCGTGAGCAAAACCATCGGAGGTGCGCGCTCTTGTGATCTCGGGAACAGAGTGAAACCACACGTCTGGTCCTCCTGAATCTTCGTAGCTTTGCAAACCAGTCGGGGAAGAAGTGTTCCAAAACGATGATGGTCTTGCAACAAAACCAGCGTGGGATGTGAAGCCTCAATGGCAACCAACGGCACCCCGAAATCCCTGGTCATCTGTCCAATGCCAACGTTTAGACAAAAACATCCCACAAATGAAACTGAAATTTGTTGACTAGTAGTGATCGGACAACTCCCTGCAATAGCTCCTCAAAGCTCGCATTTTGGAGGGGATATGACATGATGATCCAATTTACACATTAATGATTAGATTCTGGATCGTTTCCATAATACAATCCCCTCCCTATCCCTCCTGCTCCCCGTACCCCTTACTCGCTCGGCACAGCTGGGGCCCGTGCAGCTCGGCTGTGCTCCGCTAAGAATTGCAACACTTTAGTCGTGGCGTCCGGCGGAGGCCGCGGCAAGCACAGCCTGGCAATTCGGAGCATCCACGACAGATGGCACACGATCTGTTTGGGTACTGCCATGGACTGCCTACATTTGCGTGGCTTAAGGGGTCAATGGGGTGGCTGCTTTTGCCCACAAAGGAACCTGATCACTCATTTTGATGGTGAGGTTTTTCCTGTTCTTGATGACTTCAGAGGCCTGTGCCACTGATCCAGCCTCATCCAAAGCAGTTTCATCATCAGCAGTTCCCATCAACCATATGGCCTTGTCCAAAGCTTGATGGGTGAGTTGAACTCTTATCTGGGCCTCAAGTGGCTGACCTGCTGAATGCAAATACTTTGCATTCATCCAACTGATGAGTTTCTCAACAAAGTTGCGTCCATAACTGGTGGTTTATTCTGAAGCTTCTCCATTCTGGCCATGGCATCCTCAGTTTGCTTTCTCCATTGCTTGGCCCTGTTCATCTCAAGTGCTGATGCTCCTGGCCCTGATGCATCATCTGCTTTCCTAAGGCAGCTTTATGAATGCTCAACCAGCAAGCAGCAAAAATCATGCGTCTGTTTTCCCAAGTGCGTAGCAAAGGGTTCTCGTTTAACTCTGGGGGTCTGGGGGTGGAGTCGCGTTCGCGACTCGTTGTCGTAGGGACCGCAACCGTCCGCGGTAGGGCGCTATGGCGTTGACATTGGGCGAAGCTTTTGGACAGGGTTTTGGATGAAAGCATGACGTGTCAGATTTGTGTGAATTAGCGAGGAAACATGCGGAAACGTAAGATGTTGAAGCGTGGAGCATGATTTCACTGTGCAGGTGCATCGTTTTGTGGCGTTTGGAGGGTGGTGCTTTTGGGGTGTTGGATGTTGCTGTGACATTGTGGATTTGCGTAGGATTTTTTCTTGGCCAGTCCCAGTCCCAGGCCCCACAGCTAAAGTTGTGATTTTGGTGGGTTGTAGTGTGCTCAGAACGTGTCGAAATCATTCCAAACCTGTGGTGTAGTGTAAACTTTGCTGAAGGCATGAAGATATGATATTGTGACTTTTCGTGGTAGGCACAGTACTTTTGCCGGGTTTGGAGGCGTGGAAGTGCAATTTTTGTGGTAGTTGCAGGGAATCGTGAGGTTGCGAGGTGTGGTGAGGTGGAGGTCACATTTCGTGGGTCGCGCAGTACTTTGTGCTCGTTGGAGGTGTTGTTTGGAGGGGCTGGAATCGCGAAACTGCTTGGCAGGGCTGCTTGATGCGTGTGCGCTCCTATGGGGCTTCTCGCTTGACTTTTGGAGGAAGTCTCGTACACGTTTTGAAGACTTTGACATGTGACTTTTGGAGGAAGTCTCGTCCGAAACGCTCGTTATGGATAATTTTGGTGGAAATCTCGTACGAAACGCTCGTTATGGATAATTTTGGTGGAAGTCTCGTACGAAACGCTCATTTAAGCAGACTTGAAGTGCCACAATACCTATGATCCCTTCGAGAGCGTTGGCTACAGCATCAGGGATTTGGCCCACTGCGAGATGGTGCAGTTGCGAACGTTTTGCGGCAAAGAACTAAGGAGAAGGAAGGCTGCTTGTGAGGCGCAAAGCAAAAGAAGATCACAAAATAAGAACTTCCTATCCTACTACCGTGCCCAATGAATCACTCACATTGATCCACATTGAACATTGTGAACATCGTTTTGTGTTGAAGATCCCAAACATGAAGGACATTGGGCCATGATATCGGAACGCTTGGTCTAATTTGGCTGGCTTTACATGGCTTTACAATGGTACCATCACAAAGATTCCCGCAGCACCCCTGCCACATTTGGTGGGATCTCCCATGCCGAGGGGATCAGGTGGCGGCTGGGGGTTGGTCAGCGGAGACAAGGAGTCGGAGGCAAAAGCTTGTGGGGGGTGTCCGGGTATTTTGATGTTTCATTGTTGGGTGGCGGGGTGGCTGGGTGGTTGGGTAGGTTGCTGCTGCTGTAGCTGCTGGTGCTTATGCTTGTGCTTGTGCTTGTGCTGCTGCTGCTGCTGCTGCTGCTGCTGTTCTTTTTGTTGTTGTTGTGGTTGGGTGACGGCGTCAGCGGTGGGGGTAACTGGGGTTGGGCTGGGATGGATGTTGATGGGCGGGCGTTGTGGGGGATGGGGAGGAGGCCAGTAGGGAAGACACCAACTACTATAAAGTCCATTTCGTGACATTCAGGTGTCTCACCATGACATTCAGGTGTCCAAGGTCAGTCCTTATCCCGGGTACAAACCTTCATCACCCATCATGTTTGAAACTCTTTGCAGCTGCGGCAGCTCTTTTGTCATTGCTTTGAGTTGCAGGTGTTCCAAGGGCAAGCCCTAATCACTCAAAAAGAAGCCGCATTCAGCTTCCAGTGAATGGCCCCCTTTCAGTTTCTACTCCTCTCAAATCAATCTCATGCATTCACCCTCCACCAGCGACACGTCCTTCTTGAGATAGTAGAGAGGCTTACCTTTGCTCCCACTTCCAACATTGGAAACCAAACCCATCACAAATGCAACACATGACATTCCTCCATTGTCAAATCCATTATTCTCCAAGAATCGAGGTCGCAACTCCTGAGCTGGAGATTGGAGAACCATTGACCCTTTGTATTGAAACAAACACTGTCACATTGAATTGCCAAAACTGCATACATCAGTATTTTCTCAAGTAAGACTCACTTACATCTTTGGCAAACATCACTCGCCATGCTCGATTGAGCGCCTTGGATGCCTGGATCGCCTGGGCTGAGGAGAAGAAATGCGAGGGGGAAGCAGTTTTCGTGTTGATAGAAGGCTCACTCAATAAAACACAACTTCATAGCAAGGCGCTGGTGTCGTGAACGCAGAAGCCATCGCATTGAATTTGAGACCACTGATATTTGAGGGTGTGCTCCATGCGAAATAGTGAAGCGTTTGGGCCTTGGGTTTGATGATGTATGATGTATCACCTGAGTCTTCCGAGGAAGTCAGTGTGGTGGGTGAGGGATTGATCTATATTTTTCTCAGGTGAGGGATTGATCTCTCTAAGCTACCTACCCTCCGGGTCAGCGCTCCCTGCCGCTACAGCCGAGGGTTTCTCCATGGTGTGCCCATTCACGGTAAAGTCTGCCACTGTTTCACTCAGTTCGTCAAACAGTTCTTTGAGGCTGCATTTGTCGGAGTCTGAAGTCTTCTTAGAATCTTCTTCAGTGATCTCGAGCACGACGGGTTCCAAATCCGATGACCAGGAGCAAGCCATGATTCGATCAAGCTCACCTGTCAAGGCAGGATGGTAGGGCTTGAAGGGCAATTGCTGGACCTGGAATCACAACCAATTGCAAACCAATTGGTATTTGCCGGGATCAGAACCCATTGCAAAGCAATTGTTGAAGTCCGTTTTTCTTCAACCCCTTCATGCTGGCACTGGTTCGTCCTCTATGTCCGGCTAGGGCTCAGTGTTGCCAAAAACTCACTGGGCCAAGGGACAACCTAACATCAGTGATATAGCAGCAGCGATGGATTACTATGAAATGAACTAATTGGTGTTGAGAAACACCGCTATTGGAATTTTGTCGAGCACACACACACATCAAACCGGTGAAAGCAATAAGTACTCTAAGTTAAGTTTGAGACAAACTCCAAAACATTTGAGAACACTTGATGACTGGATGAGAACACTCAGGGTGCTCAGACTTCTTCCGAGTGTGTGGCCCTTTGGCTCCTTCCCAAAAAGATCGCCCAGGCTGCTTTCGCTGGACTGTCTCACACCCGAGGCCAGAGATGAGTACACACATATCACATATCACATAATATCAGATATCATTCAATGGTTGAAGGTGTATGTCACATATCGTAATATCACAAATCTGTGGAAGCTAGGATCCAGTCCAGACTGCAGCAATAACCTATCCTAGAGCAGAGTAGGTCCTACGTTCAAGCCGGAGTGACAGGGGACTTCTCTGGCACATCTGCAGGACTTCGTTCTGGTGCTTCCTCGATGCCGTTTGCACCAGGCGCACCAGCTGGGTTAGAGGGATTTGAGACATTGACTTTCAGTCGTCTGCGAGACAATTCTGAGGCACTCATGTGCTTCATGCTGTTCACACGATCTGGATGCTCCCGCCACCTCACAGCAAATTTCACAACTTGGAGACAAGTGGTGGGGTATATTGCTGTGAGCCATGAAGTCAAGTGAAGCACGTTGAGCCAAGCCACAAAGCTCGAGCTTGTTTCAAGCACTCCTTGCCTGACCAATCCGGGTGGTCCTTCTTCAGCTGGGAGATGGTGCTCTTGAGGTGTTCTTGATAGACCAGCTGAAGACCCTGACAAATCAGTGGTTAGAAGTTGCAAGTTGTGGCTGGAAAGCTATCATATATTATACGGCTATTATATTATTGTGGAAGGTAATTGTAATGTATATTTATCATTATTATACGGCAATCAGATTATTGTGGAAGGTAATGTATATTGGCAGTAGCATTGGCAGTGTGATTTTAAGTTCTGGCATTGTCGCCCTGCCTTCGCCTTCGACTTCGATGATGTTGCAGGAGCGGCCTTTGCCTTGCTCTTCGCCTTCGCCTGCAGAGCAGTGAGCGAAGGCACACCAGTTCTTTTATGTTCTTTTCAACTGACTGGGAAGAAGACTAACTCAAGCCTTCCAGACAATTGGACCCATATGATGTAGAAGATTTGGGATTAAAGGGACAACTCAAGCTTGCTGTGTGTCCACGATAGGGTTTACCCGCAGCGCCTTCCCCCTGGTGGCTTTCTCTTCTTGCCCAAGCACCAAAGTAGATGCGTCCGAGTCCGAGGCAGCTTCTTCTTCAAAGTCAAGTTTTCTGGCAACCTTCTCATCCTCAGAGCGGTTAATCTCCTCATCAGAATCCAGTGGGTCATCTTCTGGCTTCTTTGGCTTTGCTCCAGCAGGCTTCCCACGTCCCCTGCCACGCCCCTTTGTGGCTGACTGCTGGGCTGAAGCATTTTGTGTCGCTCGTTTGGCAGCCTCCTTGATAGAGAGAGACTTGTCCCGAGGCTTGGCAGGTGCAGCTTCTGATTCTGCGCCCATTGACTTCAGATGATACATGTCTGCTGCAGCACATTTTTGAGCATATTCATCCCAGACTTCTCCTGTCTTGTGACGATCCTCATTTCCATTGTCTTGTGACGCCTTTCTCTGGCGAATTGCTTGCAATTCCGCAACAAGCTGACGAGCTCTGGCTGCACGCTTCTGACGCTTCTCCTTTTCCGACTCCTTCTTCTTGCCACTCCGATCATTCTCCTTTCCTGCCCCACGTGGCTTTCTCTTTGGCTTCTCTTCCTTTGGCTTCTCTTCCTTTGGTTTCTTTTCCTTTGGCTTCTCTTCCTTTGGCTTCTCTTCCTTTGGTTTCTTTTCCTTTGGCTTCTCTTCCTTTGGCTTCTCTTCCTTTGGCTTCTCTTCCTTTGGCTTCTCTTCCTTTGGCTTCTCTTCCTTTGGCTTCGTTTCCTTTGGCACAGTTCGTTTTCTCTTTGGTTTCTCTTCCTTGGGCTTCTCTGGTTCCTCCAGTGCCACACTGCGTTTTCTCTTTAGCTTGTCCTCTTGGTCCATTGGCTTCTCTCGCTTGTCTGCTGGTTCCCCTTTTGCTCCTCTGGTTCTTTTCGGTTTCTCCTGGTCCATATCATTTCTCTTGGTTTTTGACTTCTCCTTTGGCTTGGCTGACACCTCCTCCTCCTCCTCCTCCTTTTCATCTGACGCCTTTGGCTTCCTCTTTCGCTTGACTTCTTCTTTCAGTGTGCTTCGCTTCTTCTCATCCTCCTTTGCCTGTGCCTTCATTGCTTTTTTCTCATCTGATCTTTTCTGCTTGTCATCTTTCTTCGCACTGGCAATCTTCCCATGAAGGTCATGCAGCATCTCTGCACTTAGCGATGGGTTGTTGGTCTTCGTGTCCTGGAGCGAACTCATAGGCAGTGATGGAGCATTTGGCTTCTCCACCTGGCGCAGTGTTTGTGTGATTTCCCTGGTTTTATCCAAGTTTCAAGATGATGCAAAACATCTCTGAACTGCATTGATCGGACCTTCTCACGCGAAGATATCTCTGGAGATACCTGGGAGTGGGGGAGCAGTCCAAACTCAACTCACAGGGTGTCGGTTTATTTCCTGTCGCACCTGACCAGGTCTGGGCGATGGCGTGGTTGTATATGCCTTGTCCAGCTCTGAGATGCACTCAAAGTCCTTCACCCAAACACGCATACATGTATGTGTGTGTATGTATGTGCGCAGGTGCACAAGAAGACACACACCTAAACCCATGTCCTTCTCAAACCCATGTTGTGCGAGCAAGGCTTCCAGCGCAGTGGAACTCATAGCAGCGCTAGAATTTCGACCCAGCCCAGCTACTCTAAGTCTCTAAGTTGCTGATTGAGATTCAGGAGAGTTCAGTTGAACACAATGACTTCAAGTGATCCCAAGTTCATGAAAAAAACACAAAATATTGTTGAACACATTCTTTGAGAGATCCCAAAAGTTCAACAGTGACTCCCCCACTGCCTTTGTTTTGCTCCCGCTGCAACTTGGCCACCTTGTCGGCTTTGACGAACTTGGAAGCTCCATGACCGAGGATGCACTCAGTGCATTCGATCTCAACATCCATGTGTGCCACCTCAGATTCATTAACTACCCCTGGGTTTCCTAGGCTGTTGAACCATTCGACTCGATCATTGGTGGGAGGATCCTCTAAAACAATAACAGAGTTTCTGAACACTCCAAGTAACGAGGAACAGTTTGTATTGCTGACCTTCCACAATCTCTCGGGTTTCTCCAGACCGTTCTTTGGCGAACACAACGTACAATGAGGTTCCTGCTGTTTTGCCAGGAACTTTGGCCTCCAAATTGTACTTCTCAGTAAGTGCGTCCAAGGTCGATGGCTCTGCCCAAGGCTCGATGGCTTCATCTTCCGGTTCTTCGTGGGGAACCACAGCCGTGGAGACAGGGGCAGTGGCCACGTTGACATCGAACCTCATGTGCAAAGAGTTTGAGGGAATCACATGCATATTGCTAAAATATTGGCAAACATAGAGGAAAGAACCTGTCACAACTTACATGTTTATAGTCAGTAGGGTAACTTTTTGTCGAACTCTGCAATAATTTCACGCCATTCTGCCCCATGAACGACGTCCGATGCATAGAGCTGTCTGATGTTTGTGGGAAGCTGGATTTTGTACCTTCCCCACCCAGATCCATTGCCAGTTTTGGACACAGAGACCATTTCGAAGCCAAAGTCATTGGGGTCCACAGTGTTGCTGAGAGGTACTGGGTCCTTTTCATACGGCCGAACATCACCCATGCAATGCTTGCCATTCTTCCAGTCCTCCAGAGGTTATCTACACACCAAAGAAAACCTCTCAAAGAAAACATCTACTAGTTTGGCATTTTCACTTAGAAGGGGTCACTAATTGATGTTCATCACCCCGAGAACGCATGTCCAAGCCCATTCCTGCAGCAACTCGAGAGCGATGATCTTCTCACAATAGCTAGTGAGCTGAGGTGTTTTCGAAACTGATAGGCTTGCCATGGAGTTTCCATCAGCAGCTGTTGTACCCCAATTCAAGCACGTCTTCTCCAGATAGCTGTCGTACGGGGTGACATTGCACACTCCCATGAGCTTGTTGGGTAGCTCGATTTTGCCAGTCAGCGCAGAAAGAATAGACTTGGAAAAAGCAGAGCCAGCTAGGAATTGGGCTGACTCCTGTACATCGCTGTAGCTCCTAGAGGGATCAGTTTTAAAACTGATGGTAGATGTTTGTCACCATTAAAACCAATTGATCCTTGTTTTGTCGAGAAAAACAATTTTTAATCAGACAAACCCTGCCTGGTCCCTTCGCTAGCATGGGGAAGCGAGTCCTTCTCCGCAACAGGTATGCAATACTGCGCTTCTGACAACCAGGGGATTTCTTCTCTGGTGGACCTGGACGCTCTTCAAGGACAGGGTGGACTGAGACAGGAACCAAAGGACTACTCACAAAACAAAAGTACAAAACGAAAGGAAGGGCAATGGTGACAAGGGACCGATCTAAGGCCAATTGGCTTTGCTGGAATAGGTTGTCAGCAAGTGTGTCTTCTTGCACCACCAGCCACGCCGGAAACTGGAGTGGGACCTTCTTCTTCAGTGGTGCTGGCGGCATTCGAATGGATATTGCCGTGGAGAAGAGGCCGCGAGCATCACACTTGTCTTCAATCCTCCTTGGAACCAAGGGTCAACCCAGCAATAGCAATAGAAAGAACTGTGAACCACGGGTCTAGGACAAACAAGTTGAAAGTAGTTCGTACAATGATACCTGTTGTGAACCAAGGCACCGAACTTCTCCACGCAGCCCATTCTTGACTTTCTCTGAAGGTAATATAGGACACACGATCAGCGCTGCCGATACCAATGGCTTCTTCGCCAAGATGCTAGCTGCAATATCGATGCACCAGTTCAAATCGCTGTGAGAAAGCCTGCCCATCTTGGAGAAATCAATCCATACCAAAAAGGCTGCTCGCTGGCTATTCATGCGGTCCACAAACTGTCAGGGAGCACAGGGTTCAAATGAGCGACATCCCGAACATCCACAAATGAGTGACAGGCTGGACAACACAACACCCTGAGACTATCAAGTGGGAGGTAAAGAGTGTGCCTTCTCCACAGCAACCTCCAGCTCGCCAAGATTTCCGCCCACAAAAGCACACTTCTCCTGCATGTAAGAATTCACAATCGCTGCCCCAATCGTGTTCTGGCTTCGTAGGTGGAGGAGTCGATTTGTTTTGATGGCCCGCTCGCTCTTCACCTCCGCATGATAGAGGCGACCCAAATTTGCTATGTCTCGGGCCAACTTCATGCTGTCTCGCTCCCATGCGGCCTGTTTGGCCGAGGCATCGAGCTTGGTCAAACGATCGTCCACCGTGTCAAATGCAGCAGACTCCTTCTTCTTTGACGGGGCATGATCTTGCCACAGCTGCAAATGCTCAACCTGCACAGCCGCGTCTTTCACCAGAATGGCCTCGTCAGCTTCATCGTTGTAGTCCCTGAGTTGGAATGTTCAGAGCCAAAAACACAAACACCAGCCCCAAACAAATTCCCAAACCAACCAATCAGTGAAACTGAACAAAAACAGCTTCAAACTAAACTGCTACCAACGGAACCCCTCGATGATGCGTTTTGTGACAGTGTCTAACAATGCTGCGTCAAACATCTTGGAACCATCTGAACAATGAGCATTCTCCATCTCTTCCCTCGCGAATCCAAGGAAACAGACGCGATCACATTCCTCTGCCCATTTGTCCAGGCTGAGACGCACCATTGCAGATTTGCCAGCTCTGGCTGATGCAACACGGTGTAAGAACAGCACCCTGGACATAAACAAGAGCTGCTTAGTCGCGTTCATGGAAAGGATAGCATGCCACCGGTGATTTGGAGCGCTTGAGACACCAGCAAGCAGCCAGCGAGCATCAGCCAAGGTATCACGCGCAAAAGCTGCAGGGAGCAGTCAGGTTTTAACAAGACACTATTTAACTCATAGGAGCCCATGAGCCTTCTAATTTTCAATGGCCAGACGGAGTAAAAAAGGTTTGCCCTCCATGCCTGAGTGCTCAAATCTGAACTGGTGAAGATGGCGTTCCATCAAAGTCCACACATCAGCATGCACTCCCACCTGGGCACACCACAGCAAGCTAGTTACAGCACACAGAACCTATCATATTATTGTGAAACAAGGATCAAAAAATTGACAGATTCAATCTAGGAGCAGTGAAGCCGAAGAGAGAAAGAGCAGTTGCGTCGTCTACTTGGTACCGCTTGTTCAAACTTGCTATTCCGTACTGGTTGTATTCAGTGATGCTCTCGAGGAATGCACGTTTATATCCATCTTCGCCACTGAACAGCGCTGGGTCCTCTCAGGGATTGAGGGTCATAGGGTATCATGGGCGCTACCAGTTAGCCATTGGCTTTAAATTAGATTTTATTTTTTGATTGTTATAAATATTTTGATTGTTATAATAAGCTGACAATTAGTAATTAGTCGCTCCTCTTTCTGTTTTTCATTTGCTCGCTTGGAGAACAGCATCGCTTTCTGGATCATGGTTTTCTTGACTCGCTCAGATTGCTGTTCGTGGGATTGCAGTCTGCGCCATTCCAACTCAAAAGAGTGGCTGTATCCCTGCAGGATCGATGCTGGAATGGTCAGCACAGTCTTCAAGAACCTGTCCGCAGGGATGCTCGGTTGGTCGGGAGACTTCCAGGTTACCTCCAGGTCCCAAACCATGGTTTGACCTTCAGGTTACCCCAAGATGGTGCAAAAGGCGACGGTTTTGGTTTCGAGAGGGTGCAAAAGGCGACGGTTTTGGTTTCGAGAGGGTGCAAAAGGCGACGGTTTCGACGAAACCATCACCTTTTCAAGGCTCGACCATCGCGAACTGTTTCGACCATCGACCATCGTCCCAATTCATGCTTGGGACCTTATGCATCACCTTTTGTTCTTGGGAAACCTACATCTTCAAAAGGCGACGGTCCCAGTGAAACCATCACCTTTTGGCCTGGTGTAGTGTCTTATGTTTAGAACAGTTCAATATATTGGGCCTTCACACCTACATGTCGGGATACCCAGGATACCCGGACATCAGGAATGTTACTAAAGAATGATAGGAAACTCTATTGCCACACTCAGCCATGATGTCCTCAGAAGGCGACGGTCTCATAGAAACCATCACCTTTTGAACTTTGAGAGTTCGCTTCTACAAAAGGCGACCCATAAGCTCCCAGTGGTCCCTTCCCAATGGCCTTATGAGGTCCTCTTTGACACCTTCACAAGCCAGCTCCTTCTGCAAATTGAAATACGAATAGAGGATCCCAAACCAAATGATCGACAGTCTGCCTTGGCCCTTTGCTACAGAGATTTCCCCGTAATCCAAGCTCTCTCCAGCAACCTTGTCTTTGGTGAAGTAGATCTCGAAGGGCTCACGGTGTCCTTCGTACCCACCATTGAATACGTCGGAGGCAGTGTTTTGCCATTGAGGAAATAATGGAAAACCCTCCATTGGCATTTTGTACCGGAGAGCAAGCACTGGAATTTGCTGGAGGTCTGGAGAGCCAGCCTAAGTGTCCAGTGGTACATGTTCCAGGTTCAATTGTTTTCTGGTAGACATTTAAACCCAATAGCCCAGCCTACAAACCAAAATAAATCTTGCTCCAGGAAGCAGGCCATTTGAACTCTGATGGGTGGGGAACATGGCTGTCTGGCATAAGGGAATTGAGCCACGTGTAGACTGCCTCATGGACCCCTCTGGATTTCGTAAGCTTCTGCAAGACGAACTTGGCCGGATGTTCATCTTTGGTAAGGTCAAAGGACCTTAGGACCCACATAAAAAGTAGAGGAACAAACTGACAGTAGATGAGTATAGGCTGACAGTAGTGGAACCAACTGACAGTACCTAGTGGAAACACATTGATGCAGGCTAACCACTCAGAGCCTTTCATGATGAGATCAACCCATGGTCTCGCAACCCGTGGGGCTTTGGCAAGCCCCCCTGCATTGGCCGAAGCCCTCTTCCCCATCAGGCCAGCCCGCAGCAGAGGACTGGCTCACGGCTTCGAAGCTTGAGACCCACTCATGTATTCGCGCAGGAAACATTTTACAAGTAGTACACTCAAAAAGTGGTTGACAAGTAAGTAACAGGAATGTTTCCTCAAGTCCTAATAATGCCACACTTTTGGCACGCTCGTCTAGCATCTCCTAGCTGTCGTGACATACTCTGAATTAAGTATTGTCCGACTCAGCCCAAAATTCCAAAAGATAATCAACAGATTTTAGAGATTATACAATTAGCAACCGGTTATGGTTGGTGCAAACATGACTGGAAGGGGCAGGTCAGGCTGTAATTGGCAGCATCTATGAAACATAATCTATGAACCATCAATTCGCTCAAGAGCGATTGCAGCTCCCATCATGGCCACCCCCATGCATGGTACGCTCATGCCGTTTCCGGCCATCTTGACTTTGGAAGCATTTGAGCAACCATCAAATTTGAGCCTCGGGCTGTGGCATTTTGTCGCCTGTGCCCGTGTCACTGGGAGGACATGGCTTGACAGCAGCTCATCGGAAGAGAGGCATCTTTGGTGGGCCTGGCAGCGAATGGCGCTCCAACTGTGAACAACCGAGTATGGGGTAGGGTTTAGTTTGTCAACCTTTCACCTCGCCTCTGACCACAATGATCCAGTGGTAGTTGTCAATGTGGGAAGAGCACCATCTTTTGTTTCTCCCCTCCCACGACCATTCTTCGGATATTGGGATAGATCCATGAACTGGAGCTTGGTCGTGCGCCGGTAGTCTTGTCGGTTCTTTTCCTGATTGAAAATGAATATGAAACAAACAACAAAAAGGTAAGCAGGAAGGAAGAGAAATCTCACACTCACAGTTGTTAAGCCATGTTTCCTGTGCCGTGGAAAGCTTTACCGGTGGAAGCTTGGCCCAGTAGTATGATCCTGCTGATAGTGCAACCTGTCCTGCTAAGCATTCCACCAACTGCTCTAGTGTGAAGTTGGGCTCCCATCGAAAGATATCTGTTCTGAAGATCACCATGTACAGACGGGCTCTAGCACACCCAAGGCCTAGCACCCTGGGGTCGATCCTCAGAGACTTCGCCTGCCAGGAGTAGCCACTCTTCTTCAGACACTTGAGGACCAACATCTCGCTGTATTCAGGAACGTTTTCCACGATCAAACACTCATGAGCTGGTGCAACATGTTCAAAATAGGCCACGTGGGTACTCCATGTTGCAGCGTCGGAGTCCCTTCCCCTCTTCCCCATTGCCGAGAATGAGATGCACACTGGTCCTTACTATCAGACTTTAGTGAGTAGTGTTGAAGTACTCAGGAAGTGTCACCAGGCTTTTAAATGTCTAAGAGCCGCACCAACAGCGTTGATTTTTGTACCTGAGGAGCTGTTGGTTTCCCAGACCTTTGCTAGTAAATCTATGTTAGATTACATTCTGTCACATGGAAACAGTTGAAGTCAAGCTACGGCCTGGTTTTGAACTATGAGTGATCTTGCATAAGCGTCCATGGGTTGTGCAAAAGGCTTTACCACCGTTCACCATGTCCAAGGTGAGGATATCCTTGAAGTTGCAATGTCCATATGTGTTTTTCAACACCAATTGACACTCCGCATTGATTTCGCACGACGAAGTCAGACACACATGTTCGACTTGACCCATCTTCCCAGCGCATTGGGTCTGCAGGAACCTCCGCGCTGCGGATTGCAGGCTCAAGGCCGCCTCAGCTCGAAGGCATCGGGTCGACAGTAGAGGGGAAGTGTGAGACATACCAGTGCTAAGTAGCGTGCTGTCTCTGCACATCCACATCCCGAAAACGAAGTACTCATGTCCCACTTCCACTTGCGTAGTTTGTTCAAGAACCAAGCTTTCCCCCATCGTTGCGAGATCTTCTTCATAAAGAGGTCTGCCCATCCATATGTCGCCAGAATGGACCGGTAGTGAGTGGGGTGTTTGCTCGAAGCTGCTGGGATACTGGTCTTTGGGAAGAACCGCCTCGGTCAGCATTTTCATTGTGCAACCAGAAGAACACCAACTCTGGACTTAGGTACCCACTTCTTTTCGATTGTAGGTTTGACGCCTCTCTTCTTGTCCCGAGACTGAGTGGCTTTCCTGCAACCGCAACGTTTAGACTCTGGGTGATTTTTTTGTTGGCACAAACTAGTGACAAACAATTGTTTTTGATTGCTCTTATTGGTGTCCTTGAGACAGTAGGCTTTTGCACCATTCCAGGTTCCCGAGTCCCAAACAATCTCAAGACTGCCTCTCGCACACTGACCATATGCCTGTACCAGTCTTGAGCCCTTCCAGAGTGGAATCTGATATTATGTGCTTGATGTAAATGAAGCATTCTTGAAACAGCATGAGTGTGTGGAAGGTCTTATTGCTGACGCTTCTTTTACTGAGGCATGATTTGCTATAAAGAGGATCAATTAAAGCAGCATGAATTGGTAGCTCAAATGAATTGTCGCAGTCCCTCAGTTCTGAGGGCCCCCGGTATTGTTGGAGAGATCCAACACCTGCAGTTTACAAACAGATGGTTTTCATAGTGAGACACTGTCACACACTAGTAGTGTTTGGTTCATGTTTGACTGCTTGCTTGACAATGTTCCTGGCCTCACTGCTGATTCTTCTTTTTTTGTAATTACGCTGGCGCACCTGGGCAAATGAATAACAAGTGATCCATGTATGAAGGTTAAACATATCCACCAATGAACAGGTCCGAACAGGTCCGAAGCAGGTCTTGCCTCTTGTGGCTCAGGCAAAGGTGGCCAAAACGGCCAAGCGTTGACCATCTGCAGGCCAGCAATCACGAGTTGATGACAATTAGGGATTCCTTAATGCTATTGGGCTACAGTTTTGGAGCTAGACCCAATGATGCCGAATTGTTTGAAAAGAACTCTGTCAGAGCAGACTTGTCAGAGCTTGCCTGGTGGAACGTGAAGTCATCGACCTGTGAGTCTTCATTTTCGAGCATGTCCTGCCAGTGGTGTTGCCAGTCCAACTTTTGAAGACATGTGGGAAATGTAGTCCTCGACTTCCTTCCTTTTCCTTTCCCATTCCTGACGCATTTGTTTGTCAGGGATGACGCATAGAACTTCGACTACCAATGAGCAGCCTGAGCCTCAGCAGTTTGCAGCCTGAACAGAAAAGGGCGGAAGGTCTTTTGTATGTTTGTATGTGGGTTTGAAGCTGCATTCTATATCATATCATAGTGGCTCAACCTCGCCTGGTCATCTAGTAAGTAGGTCCAGGGCAGTTTTCTAAATAGTGACCAGTCAGTGTTTGGTCACACATACAAAAATGCCTGCGGGTCTCAGCATGGTCCACTCTCAACTTGCCTGAACCATGCCAAAGAATAAAAACACATGGAGTGACAGTATTTTCGAGCTGTCACAAGTGCTTTGCGTAGAACTTCATTGCTGGAGCAATTCTCCCAGCGATGCGAGAGAAACCTATCTCTGAAGGGGGTCCACAATCGGTCTCAATCCAGGGCAACCGAGGTGGATCTTCAGCTTTCAGATCTTCACTACAAATGTTCAGGAGAAACTGAACCGATCTAGCACTTGACTCACGTGGTGCTCGTTCCAACAAAGCCTCTGCTAGTTTTAAATATTCTGTTTTCTTTGCTGCTTTCACTGGTTCGAGAGGACGAGGTTCCATAGGCATTGCACCCAATTGAGCTGTGTAGCGGTATGGCCAAAGCAGCACAGACCCCTGCAAATGCATGTGCATACAAAGTGCATGCGTTGGGAGTTGATGTGTTGCTGGTACATGACATGGCAGTCTTGGCAGCTCGCCCTGCCTGGCAAAGGTCGGAGTCACTGGCATTGCGCTTCAAGAGGCAGATGATGTCCATCGGGTGGTCGGGTAAAGAGTCAGCTGCTCTCCCACTCTTGATGATGTGGGCTTGCACATCACGTGGCAAGTCTCAGCTCTTTCAATCACAGAACCGATCATATTCTTTTGGCTTTTGAATGCTTTTGACTACAGACAGCAGAACAAAACTGCAGCAAGATCTAGTCTGCAAAGGAACCTCTCCTTCGAATCAATAAGAAGCAATGCAACCCAGTTGAGTCATCCTTCAGGCCGCCCTCAATTGAGACCGGCGCCGCGCTCAACCTAGGCTAGGCGACGGTGTCTCACTTAGCAACATGTGCTCGCACTGGCGAGAAAAAGGGATTGGTTCAGGGCTAGGGTTTTATGATGTTACCAAGAGACCATTGTTTCCATGGCCGCACGCCATCAATGTACTCCACGGACACCACTGCGTTGTGCCCGATCCAAGAACGAATGTTGATTCTGTTGAGAATCGATGTCAATTTCCTGGGGGCACAGGCAGAACCTCTATTGAAATGTCTAGCTACTGGCAAGTGCTGATATGTTTCGTTTTTCGGTTTTAAGATGTCTTGAGGTTTCACCATGTAAGGACCTTACTCAACCACATCCTCAGCGTCGCTCAAAATGTCCAGATATCTAAAGGTTGTTGCGATAACGCCGAATATTTGATCTCAGATGACGGTACACACAGACACCCGCTCACACGCACAAAACACAATTATTAGGAGATCATCGAATGATCAACAGCTGGGTTTGATTGCAGAATGCCTCCCAGTAACCCAAAGAGTTGTGAGTGTGGCCTCTCCTGCTAAAAAGCAGGGAGGCCGTGCGGAATTGAGTCTTGCTCAACACCATCGACGCCCATTTGAGCACCCATTGGTTCTTTGTCTCCCTGACACAATTGTCAGCCTCCATCCAACAAAAGCAGGCTAATGCACACTGATTCCACCAAAACGATATGAATCTGTTCAAGACAAGGTTTGAGTCCAAGAAACCCAGAAGGTCAGCTGGTCTGGTTTGCTAGCTTTCCGAGCTTCACAAATATCCAGAACTTGTTGAATCGTTCTGGATGCCGTCTCTATCACCATGCTCGAGTCCGACGGCACGCGTGGATGGACCAGCCATAATTTTAGCATCACATCGTGACACCATGTGCCCTGCAGCTTGAAACGTGGCCGTTGAAAGCCACTGAGCGCCTTCGGAACCAATGCTGCTTTGTTTCTTGGAACGGACCATTTGGCCTGATCCATTCCATCCTCATGCACACAGAGTCACGGAGTGACAGAATCGATTGGTTATGCTTCCACATTATACTCATGATGGAGCAATTCCACTCCAAGGCACCATATGGATGGAAATGGCTTTGCAGCCATCATCAAAAGGGCTTTGGGATTCCATGAACCGCTCTAACTCCCGGTCTGCTCTGATGAGATCCAAATGAGATTTGTATTCTCTGGCAATGTCAAATCGAGCCTGGTCATCCTGAACTTGCAAGTCCAAGGCTTTGCGACAAAACCAATGTGAGCCCACAAAAGTGAGCTTGAGACACAACAACTCAGTGCATCCAATGTTCAGTCACCAGTTTGAAGGCATCCTTGAACGCCACGCAGTCATCGCAGGCGGCATGCTCTGTGACTGGCAAGAACCGTAATATCTGGGACCATTTTCGTTTAAATTGGCGCCAGAAGGTGCTGTACCTAACTACCCAAGCCATCCCAAGCCCACAGAAGTCTCAGCAAACACACACACATTTACATATTATATGCAACTCAAGCTGCGACACATTAAGACTTGTATTGTGCTTCAATTCCCACCATAGCATAGATATTGTGCCGGGTGCCAAATATCTGACCGGGAGCTTATCAAACTCCCGACAGAAGTTGGATTCCACTTTCCTTGTAACAGACAGTATGTGAGGAGTCTAGATGGCTTAGGTAAGAGGCAAATGTTGTTAGCCAAGCTTCTCTGTATAGTATGAGCTCAATCCAGCTACGTGCATTTGCAGCTCCTGGTCCTGCTCTAAGCACTCCTCTGGCAGGTGAAAGTCAGTTTCCATCTCATCTTCAGTCTCGTCGCCCCCTTACTGCTCAGCGCTCACGCACCAGAGCTGATGAGCTACTAATTAATGTGAGTCAGTTGATTTTTTCCGACAACAGGACGAGGCGCTGTCGGAGTTGTTGTCAGCTCGCGCTGATTGCCCAACGGTCACGACAAAGTCTTCAGTTTTGGATCGTTTTCTGGCTGGTCGCTGAAGCCTCGCAGATGTTCAAATGTCATGATGGTGGCATATGGTGGCCACCGAACAACAAACAACAAACAAAACCAGCAGCAAAGCAAGCTGTCAAACCAAGACGCTTTGTTGGTAGCATACCAGCCGCGTTCATGTATAGGCCGAGGAGATACTTGTCCACTGACA